TCTTTCGGCCCATGATGCCTTGACTATTATCCGCAATGCCCTCAGTTTGCCCAAATTGATGTACTTCCTGCGTACATCTAAACACATTGACCCTTCTAAATTGGGCGAATTTGACGGAGCCCTGCGCACCGCCCTGTCGTCGATTTGCAATGTTCAAGTGACTGACAGTGGTTGGTCCCAGGCTCAGCTGCCGGTGCGATTTGGTGGGCTGGGGTTGCTTAGCGTGGTTCAGCTGGCTTCCGTTGTTTATAATTCTTCTGCCGCTGCCACTCTCGACCTGCAGTCTTCCCTGCTCCACCGGTTTTTTCGTTGCCGCGATATTCTTCCCCTAGTGTCCGCCCCGGGGGACCGTACGCACGTCCAAATTTTGAACAAAGAATATAAAAAAATCTTTCAAAATTTGTTGTCTTCATGCGGCGACGACTTTTCCACCGCTCGTTTGTTGGCCATGTACAGCGTTGCCAGCTGTGGGTGGTTGAGATCGTGGCCTAACACGTCTGTGGGTACCAGGCTTGTGTCACTCATTATGTTTTGGTTTTAACATACATTCATACATACATGTCTACCATACATACATACATACATTGTCGGCCGGCATGCATACACAAATAAACACACACATGCATTTGGTGTACAATTGTACATCGTCGAATCGACGAATTGGGTTAGTGGTGAGTCCTAGAGTGAGCAAAGTCATATCCTTGACGAATATTTCCGTGCACATGTTCTACAGATCCATACACCTGTACTATTGCCGCTTAGGGCCGTCTGTTTTTGTCGAATATTTTTTTCAGCGAGGTCATTTTTGCGGCCATGAAGCAGTGAAGTGAGCACAACTGCTCTCTATACCGCAATTTCGGTGGCCAGGGTAACTCCGTGCTCTTTCCAAAGACGTCCGGTCAACAGCACCGTCATCGATAACTGTACTTTATCCACCTAGATAATAAAATCTATCCACGGAATTAAGACGTGAGTCGTCCGCCATCACATAAGCCATTGCCCCCTTCCTTCCACACGATAGCAAATTGGTATCCCCTTACTACCGGGACGAATAGCAACTAGGAGCTCAATTAAATGTAGATGTTGAACAGCAGCAATAGAGCCATAACACATCCCTGTTTCGTTCCATGCGCAACATCAAAATCCTGAGACCGTTCACCATTTTCAATCACACTCGCTTTCACACATTCATGGAAGGAACAAACAATGGTAACAAAAACCGGGGGCAAACAATTTTCGACAAGCAGCGCCAAACGGCTGACCAATCAATTGAATCAAAAGCCTTGATCAGGACAACAAAAACCATGTACAGACCTCGTTGTTGCTCACGACATTTTCTTGCAGTTGTCTTGCAGTGAAAAATTACATACATACATACATACATACATACATACATACATACATACATACATACATACATACATACATACATACATACATACATACATACATACATACATACATACATACATACATACATACATACATACATACATACATACATACATACATACATACATACATACATACATACATACATACATACATACATACATACATACATACATACATACATACATACATACATACATACATACATACATACATACATACATACATACATACGTTGGTGCATGCACTTGTTCTTTCAAAACTAGATTACTGCAATAGCCTTTTTTACGGGTTACCTGATAAACATGTTTCTACTCTTCAGTCCATACAAAACAGAGCGGCCAAGTTGATTGTCGGTGGTCTCAGATACAATCATGTAACTCCTATTTTGGAAAGTTTTCATTGGCTCACTGTTAAAAAAAGAATTACATACAAAATAGGCCTAATAATGTATAAAGCGTTACATGGTCTGTTACCAGGTTATCTGATCAATAAAATAGAAGAAAAATCCGTAATGATGAGTGGCATGAAGCTGAGGTCAGATGATAATATTTTGCTGGTTGTCCCGGATATCAATTTACAGATCGCGTCAAGAAATCTGGCTGTTTCAGGACCGGCTGTTTGGAACAGTTTGCCAGATTTTTGAAATCTAAAGACTTGAAGCTGGATGATTTTAAGAAGAAATTGAAAACTTATTTATTTGCACTTTGATTTTGATTTTGAACTGTTTATTAATAACTGCCATTGTATACTGTTCTTTATTTTTTTTTTTTAATTGCTATGGATGGCGCTTTTGAGAACTTTTTGATTTTAATTGGCGCCTTATTAAGTGTTTTAATAATAATAATAATAATAATAATAATAATAATAATAATACATACATACATACATACATACATACATACATACATACATACATACATACATACATACATACATACATACATACATACATACATACATACATACACACATACATACAGTACCACTACTACAATGTATAAACAACAGCAAAACATTGATCGAGATGTAGCCATGGATAGATAGGATAGATCAAACTGCATAATGTATGAATGGATAACTTCCGAAAAATATATAAAATATTTATTCATAAATATTACTCTTATTTTATTTTTATTTATTATTTTTAATATTGTTATTCTCACTTTATATAGTTATCAGCAATTTATAAAAATATTTTCCAGAATACTTATATACATAATCATCATACACACAGACTTAAACCATCTGATCTTACCATACACTTTATATACATTAAAATAATAAGTCATAATTTTATATTATAATTAATATTATATTATTCATTTCTATTTTACAATGAAATAATTAATTCTGAGTAATTATAAGACAGAACCAACCGTCCATATGGTATCACTTCGGTCTTTGTAATAAATAACTTAAGAATGTATATGGTAGGAGCACCATGTAAATGAAAATAAATTGTTTAAGGAAAGAAGTGCCTAAATAATTTATAGCTCGGACGTAAATTAAACCGTGAATAAGCATAAATAAGTAAAAACTAACTGCTAGTAGGTATAATTAATCAATCAATCAATCAACTAACCAACGAACGATCCGACCATACAACAAACCGTTTTAATAGGAAAGTATAATTGAACGTTGTTAAGCTTAAATAAGGCAACTAATCAATCAACCAACCAATCAACCTATCAGCTGAACAATCAACTTACTAGCCGACCATTTCAACAACCAGCTAACTAATCAACCAGCCAAGCCAAACAACAAATCAAACGACCAAATTATCATATGTAATGATAGGATCTGTAAGTTTTAATAAGATTGAGAAATTTGTTGCACACTGTTTTTCAGATATTTTTTGCTGGAGCGTTACTTATATTTTCTTTCTTTTGATAGCCATCTACGTTTCTATTGTAGAGATATATTGATCTGAAGAATTTAAATACATTGTTTTTAAGCAAAGGCATTTAAAAGCTTCTAGACATAGTTACTAGTGCATTTAAACGCTATGTAAAAAGGCATCTAAGATTGGATTTCCAAGTCAAATTTTGCTAATTTATATTTATTTTTGACCAAACATTTATAATTTTTCCATTTTTCTGTTTATTTATTTTTTAGGGGGAAAAAATGAAATTAGTTTTCAGGTGTACGACTTCGTTGACACGTCGTCCCAAATTGCAAGTTAACACGAACGTTCGTGTACAAGTCACTCTTCCTTTTGCTGCGAACATATGACTGCACGTACACTCACACACACACATATACATATACACACACATACACATAAACACACACACACACACACACTTTCTTATCTTAGTCATCCATTCGTTCGTTTCATACACTCCATTCATTCAGTTTTTTTTTGTTCAAAATAATCTTGTAACGTAACACCAACATTGTTGACTAATATGTCTATCTCGACACCGCCATCTTTCATGAATATGACGCAAGCAGGCCTCAAAAAAGATCATAAGATAACAAGGTGCAGATAACAGAATCTGCAAAACATCCAAACAATTAGCTTACGATTTGTGCATTTAGTAATCTTTTAATAAAAATTTCCAAATATTTATTTCGATGTAAGCAGCCGAAATTGTTGGTCAAACGTAATGAATTGCGAGGGAATAAGAATTAAAATATAACATTATGATATATCTGCTGATATGAAAGTGCTTCCAAGTCTATACTTCATGGGATTTGCTCTTGTTCATAGAAATCAATGCCAAAAGACACGGTATAATTAATATGCCATGGTTGAATGTTATTTAGAATGTTGCAATCAAATCCATGGTTGGTTAGCTGGGTGGTCGGTCGGCTGGTTGATTGGATGACACATTGGTTCATATTGGTACACTGGCAGAATATTTCACATGATTAACTCATACAAATAATAAATAAAATTGAGCTTATCTATATTCAAACATAAACACTATTCATTAATTAAAAAATCTAATTAATTTATATATAAACATCAATTGATTAATAAAATACAGAAAAACGAATCCTCTTATCAAGGGAATGTGAACAAAATCACGTACACACTTCGAGTAATATGGCATATATATATATATATATATATATATATAGCATAAATATATATAATATTCATATAATGTGAGACATTCGTGACACACACGTAAACATTTATTATATAAACAATACGCCTATGCACGTATAACCTAACCTAACTACCTCTAATTTATTTAGTTTAATTACTTGAGAATTTTTTTCGGTTAGAATCAGTTTATTTTTTGATAAATCAGTAAGTAATTTATGGTTTGATTGCCCTAATTGAGTGATGCATCTTGCAAAAAATCGTCTAGTTTATCATTATAGCACATTTAATCTTGTCGGCTTATTAAAAGGTTACCGAGCCAGTGAGTTAAATCACGTCATGCATGCATGTATTTAAAGATGTTTGTTGAATATATATATATATATATATATATATATAATCATGTATGTATATATATATATATATATAAATATTATACAGATATATATATTTTAGTACATAGGTTTATTATTTTATATACATTGTAAATATATATATTTTATATAAAAGCCAAACAATATATGGCATAAATGTTGAATAAAAAATGCATTAACAGACTTTCATGTTATGTTATATAGTAGGTATATGCAGACAGTCATGCATCAAATAAAATATATAAATATATATAAGTTTGGAAGAACTTAAAGTTGAAACGTGTACAGTACACGGGCTGTTCCTAGTGGTCTGTGGTAAGACCTGGAATGTTAAAAGAGAATTTAAACTTTAAATGAAAGTTAAAATAGGTTATAAAAATCGCGATTTAAATTTCTAATTTATAAACGTTTGTTAATTAAATTTTAGTCCTGTCTGCTTCATTTTTGCAGAGGTAGAAGTTTAAGTTTATAATTTCGTTGAAATTTAATCACCGTCATCGTCATGGAAGTCGGAAAATTAGTGTCAAATAGTGTCTTGTTAGTTGCGGTTGTCGTTGTCATCATTAACATATTTTTTTCTGGAGGTTTGGTGCGTGCCGATTTCTTCTCGGCCATTTCAGAACTTGAAAATGTCCTGCAGATGGAAAATGAAGTCGCCCATGATTTGAGGAGTTATGTGAAGAGTGAGGAGGCCAGGCTGCAGAACCTCAAAAAGTTTTTTTTAGTTTTTTTATATTCAATTTTGATTTGAGTTTATATTTTTGGTTTGCATGAATATTTACATGAATTAGGTAGGTAACAAATAAGAAATAGAAACTTTTTTCTTAGTTTATTTTTATATATTTTTGTTGGCAGCTATTGCACTTTTAAATATTATAAATTCTAGTATAAAAATTTAATGAAATACGACATTTGTAAGTTCAATTGAAAATTATATAAAAACTAAAGTATTTTTAAAATAAATTAAAAATATTTTTGAAAGAATTGCAGATGATTTTGAGAAGCATAGTTTAGAAGCATTGGTTGACCCTGAGAAACACTTGAGCAACCCCATCAATGCCTACCTGCTGGTTAAAAGGTTCACAAAGGAATGGAATGAGCTCCTGGAACAGCAGATCAAGTCTACCTCTCTATCTGGTTGTCATTTTGATTTGAAATTTTGAAAAAAAAAAATCTTTCAAAAATATTTTAATTTCATAATTGTTATAATTTTTGCAATGAGTTATTCTATTTCAATTTGAATGAGCTGGTAACTTATTTTGCTGTATAGTGTTAAAAATATTTTATTTTTCGATTTTATCATGCAACAAAACTTATCTCATTCATTGGCAACACTCAGTATTTGATGCTTTTTACATGGCAACTTTAAAAAACTAGATTAAAATTGACACTGAGTTTTTGAGACATGCTTCATTTAATGTTTCCATATTTTTCCTATAGGAAACTCCTAAAACAAACCAAAACAACTTATTGAATTTTATTTTTCAAAACAGCCGAACATTAAAAACCAATTCAAACCACACAGAATTCTTGAAGAGTCTGTCCACAAAAACAAGTCGTTTCCCAACGGAGGATGATTTACAAGGGGCTGCTTATGCCCTTATGAGGCTGCAGGACACCTATGCCCTTCCTTCTAGCAAGTTGGTCAAGGGTGACCTCCAAGGCATCCAGGATTCTGTTCACATGACTGGTTGGTTCTTATCCGTTGTCAGGGCTGTTACTTTAAATGAATCTTTAGTACATAACACATGAACAGTTAATAAAGATTAAAAACATATTTTATATTCAGATTTTAAATCATTTTTCTTCAAATTAGAAAAAATTGTCATCATTTTGAATTTATTAATGACCAAACAGCCCAGGATTGCTTCATGCTTGGTTCAATTGCATACAAGGGGAATGATTTCTACCATACGATCATCTGGATGTCTGAAGCATTGAGGATGTCCAAGGATGACCCCTCCATTGATAACTCTACTTTGTTGGACTATTTGGCTTACTCTTATTATATGGTCTGTCTGTCTGTCTGGCTGACTGGCTGGCTGGTCATCTGTTTGTCTGTTTGTTTGGTTGCATGTTTGTCTGTCTGGTTGTCTGTCTGTTTTTTTAATTGTTTGTCCGTTTGCATGTTAGTTTGTCTGATTGCCTGTTTGTTTTTTTTTAATTAAATGGTAATTTAAAAAAATGAATAGATGTGACAGTATAAAAATTAAATGGTGTTACATTTTTTATAATTAATCCAACAGCAAGGTAACACAAAAAAGGCTTTGAACTTGACCAAAGAATGGCTTCTGATTGGTCAGCAAAGTTTAATTTCATTGGCTATCAATTTTTCTTTACAATTTCTTCTTGTGTCACAATGATTTTATATTTTTTTTTTACAAAATTTTAATGTTCTAGTTAAAATCATTAACCGTTTTCCGCTATCTAATTAACTTTTACGAATCGTTCAACATTATAATGAAAAAATTTAACTTCAAGTTGAATCTCTAACGAGATTAACAACAACAACCAACCATCATTAAAAAATTTCACACTGAATTCGAAAACTTATTCCCAGACCCAAACCACATACGTGCCCAAAATAACCTAAGATTCTATGAGCAGTTGATTTTAGAGCAAGAAAGTCGAGCTCGTTCAAGAGGCGAACAGCAAACACACTATGACGAGAATAGTAATCCCAGACCGATGGATGCTTACAAGTTAGTTTGGGATTGGAAGGATACTGATTGGGATAGATGGATTTGTGTGTGTAGATGTGCCCGTGTGTGTAGGTGTGAATTAATGTTTTTGCCTTTCTTTTTATTTCAGGTTGTCATCCGACTTTCAAAATTACGAAAAATTATGCAGAGGTGAAAAGACTCAGGTTAATAATAATAATATCAATGATTATAATTAATAAATAAATGAATAAATAAATAAATAGTTATAAATAATAAATAAAAAATTCATTAACCCAGTCCTTATACAACGAGCATCTGTTAACATGTCAATATAGAAGGCACCATCCATTCCTATACATCAATCCAATCAAAGAGGAACAAGTTAACTGGGAGCCAAGGATGTTCCTCTTCCATGACGTCATGACGGACGGACAAATCGCCCGGATCAAGAAGATTGGAAAACCTAAAGTTAGGGATTGATTGATTGATTGGTTGGCTGGTTGGTTGAAAAACAACGTGTGTTCAATTTCGATCATTTTTCTTTTTCTATTTTTAACTTTCAAAATCGTTACCAAAAAATATTTATATATTTCTAAAAATATTTTTACCGCTAGCTCGGAAGATCTGTGGTGTACCATAAGAGTAACAGCCAGGTGACTACACCACAAGATTATAGAATCAGTAAGAGGTATGTTTTTGTTGGTTTGTTTATGCTGTTGATTTGTTCACTGTTGAATCCACTGAATCACATCAGGATGAACACAATATTATACCGTACCATCAGTTAATAATAAAGCAGTCAATCAATCAACCAACCATTCAATCAATCAATCAATCAACCATTCCATCAATCAACAAAGTGGATGGTTGAAAGATGAAGATGACAGAGCTGTATACAAGTTCAGCTATATGGCAGGTCTCCTATCAAATCTCACACTTGACACTGTCGAAGATTTGCAGGCTGGTTGACTGGTTTTTGATTGATTGATTGATTGATTGATTGATTGATTGATTGATTGATTGATTGATTGATTGATTGATTGATTGATTGATTGATTGATGTGTGCGTGCACGTGTGCTTGTGTTTGTTTACCTGTGTGTCTGTTTGTCTTTCTGTAGGTTACAATGATGGTATTTGTGACTATGAATTACGATAGTGATGCTGTATGTGTTTGTTTGTCAGAAACATCGTCTAATTGAAAACATTCTTTGTACTAATAACGTGTCACACACACACGCACGCACGCACGCGCACATACATACAGGCACATGCACGTACACACACACATCATTACACTCATGTTTTATCTTTTACTAGCATTCGACATTTTGACTAACACATACACATACGTACACACACAAAATTTTTGTTAATTAACTTTGAGACATTATGTTGTTAACAAAGGAAAAACTAAATTTATTACGATCTTTTTATTACAGATTTGTTTTTATTAATTTTTATTATCCGATCTTTTTACTACATAATTTTTGGGAAAGAATGATTTATTAGTTTATAAACAAAATACGGAATAATAGGCATGACATGAACAAAACAAAGAGAAATGAGATCACCTCAAAGTCATTTCCTCAAAGAAAATAAAATTTTACGAGTTCTTTCAACAATTCATAAACTTAATAACAGGGCTTTGTATTCACATAAGGCATATTTAATTAACTTTGCAAAGTCACTTTGTGAATTATGGAGAATACTTGAATTTAATTTAGATAGCTTTGTTTGATTGGCAAAGGAATTAATGGTTTGTATATATAGATAGAATCGTTAGTTTAATTTTAAGTTAATTGTAGTTTATAATTTTCGGTTTAGTTTCAAACAAAATCTAAATGGCTGAAGAAATTTATTGCATTTGTCGGAGTTCCGACGTGTCTAGGTTCATGATTAGTTGCGAGGCGTGTGATGTTTGGTATCACGGAGATTGCATCGGTCTAAGCGTTGATGAAGCTCAAAAGTTCACGCGCTGGTTCTGCAACTTTTGTTTAGAGTCAAATCCAACTTTGAAAATCTTGTACAAGAAAAATCTTTCATTAAAACGTTCTTACGATGAATCAAAATCTCGCGAGAACAGCGGTGATGACGATGATAAATATGGTAGAAAGAGGACCAAACGTGATAACGAATTCACACAGCAGAAGCAAATTAAAAAGCAGGAGGAGAAGAATTTAAAGAGAAAGAGATCACCATCTGACACGTGTGGTTCTTGCAAGGCGTGCTTGAGAAAGGGAGACTGTGCCAAATGTCACGTCTGCATGGAAGCGAAGAAATTCGGCCGAGCCAACAAATTGCAACAGAAATGTAGAAAGAGACAGTGCCTGAATCAGGAAATATCTACATTGGTGATTAGTGATCAACTTGATGATGAATGCAAAAAAGAGAATATTTATCAAATTAACAAGTCCAGTGAACCTGTTAAGAAAGATGTCGCACTAGATTTATCAAAGACTTCACTGGAGCCAAGCGGCAAAGTCATTCATCAACAACGGGTACAACCACAGCAACAACCACAGCAACAACAAAAACATCATCGCAAACGCATGCAAAGCACTGAGGACGATCGTGTCAGAAATTCTCAACCTAATAAAGACAAAAATTCTTCCTCAAAGTTACCATCTACTGAACAGCAGCAGCAACATGCAGCCAACTACCTACCATACAAATATTATGACGAAGATGGACCGAGACAGTGTTTGGGGCCAGGTTGCGTGGAGGCATCGAGGCAGGGTTCCAAATACTGCTCAGATAACTGTGGCATGAAACTTGCAACTAAAAGAATAACCGAGATTTTGCCACACCGAATGCACGATTGGAAGTCAACTGCCTGCCTGGCCGAACAGAACGACATGAAACATTTGGAGCAGATTAGACAGAAACAACTTCAGGTGAAAGAGAAGTTGTTAGAGGCGGAACAGAAGCGCAAACAATTGGATGAAATCATTATGATGGGGAAAAGTGGAACTGTATCGAACGCTAGCGAAAAGGATCGAGATAACAGTGATTCTCGTCTTAACATATTTTGCGTCACTTGTGGACAGCAGGTGCTTCAGAAAGGTGCTCTCAGGCACATGGAGAAATGTTTCAATAAGTTTGACAGTCAGATATCATGTGGCTCAGCATATAAGAGTCTCGTCGAGGGAGACTCCGTGATTTGCGACGTGTACAACCCCCGACGGAATCTCTACTGCAAGAAATTGAAAGTCCTGTGCTCCGAACACACCAAGGAACCAAAGGTGCCGGACAACGAGGTGTGTGGATGTTCGCTGGTCGTCAACACCTTCGAAACAAGCGGAACGTACTGCCGGGTTTCGAAAAATAAATGTCAGAAGCATCATTGCTGGGAGAAGTTGTGGAAGGCGCAGGCGGACATGGAAAGGTTGAGGCAGTGGGGGCTGTTGAATGAGTTGCTCGCAGAGGAAGGCCAGGTGGTGGCAAACATGAAAAATCGGGCCGGAGTGTTGGCCCTCATCTTGCACCAGACCACCGATCACCATCCGGAGACGTCCATGCTGCCTGCCAAGAAGTCTCAGTACTGAAAAGATTGCAAGAGCAAGCATACTGTCAACTTGGATCAAAATCAATCAATCAATCAATCAATCAATCAGGTTATAAAGCACTATTTCCGCGATGTTCCTGTCAAACTTTAGTCATTATATCGTATATAGCATCTTCTGTTTTTTTTTATTTGCACACACTCGGAACGTTTTTTTAATCTATTCAACTGAATACATTAACACTGATTGACAATAAAAATATGATTTTAAATATGACATCAAGGTGTTGAACTATGGCATTGGCGGGCATTACGAGCCTCATTATGACTTTGCTACTGTGAGAAAATATTTTATTTAAATTATTAACTTTTTAAATATTGTAAAACACTATTCTATCTATATTATTATTAATATTAGCTTTTTTATCATTAAACTGAAAAATTGTTTTATCATTATTCATCAAAATTATATTATTTAATAATTAATTAACAAATTATATTATTTCGTTTTTGTTTTCATAAATTCTTATAGAGCAGAGAGTTAGATACATTTGAGAAGGCCATTGGGAACAGGATTGCTACGTTCATTTGCTACGTCAGTGATGTTTCAATTCTTACGTTTTTTAAGCTTTGTACAAATTTTCAAATTGGTTGAGAGAGAGAGAGAAAAGAGAAATATTGATAAATAGAGAAAGATAGCGAGAGAGAGAGAGAGAGAGAGAGAGAGAGAGAGAGAGAGAGAGGAGATAAATAAAGATTAAGTTAAGAAAAAAGATCAAATAGTCATCTGTCAGTATCTATATGGAAATGTTCACATCATTAACGCCATCAGGTCTTAATATCAAATTTGTCATCCTTACTCATGATTATCACGATCATTATTATCATCGTCGTTACTATGACCATCGTCGTCACGTCATCATCATCATCTTTATGTCATCATTAACGTCGTCATCATCGTCATCGTTATTACGTCATCGTTGACATCCTTATGACGTCATCTCAGTTGTCAGACGTGCAGGCAGGTGGTGCCACTGTCTTCCCTGGTATCGGGGTCAGTTTCTGGCCTAGAAAAGTTAGGGAAACTTATTTATTTATTAATTCTCTCAAACATTTATTTTTTTTTTTTCGTCCAATCTCTTAATCATTTTTTTATTCATTAATTCATGTACTCAGTCGTGATTAATTCTTTCGTTCATTCATTCATTCATTCGTTTGTTCGTTTTTTTTGTAATTATTAATCACCTAATTTATTAATTGATTGAATAATTAAATTAGGCTAAGTGCGCCTTCTGGTACAATTTGATGAGAAGCGGAGAGGGTGATATGAGGACCAGACATGCTGCTTGCCCCGTACTATCTGGTATCAAATGGGGTGGGTGTCATTTCATTCATTCATTCACTCTTTCATTTATTTGTTTATTCATTCACTCGTTCATTCACCCTTTCATTTATTCATTCATTCATTCATTTATTCGTGCAAAAATCGTAGCGTGTGGCAACAAATGGTATTTTATTCATGCATTCAATCTTTCTTCTATTGAGTCATTTTTTCACTCAATCATTCACCCACTCACTTATTCATCATCCATTTATTCATTCATTCATTCATTCATTCATTCATTCCCAGCATGCAACAAGTGGTTTCACGAGAGAGGTCAGGAGTTCATCAGACCGTGCACTTTATCGCCATTGGAGTGAAAAGAAAGAAAATGATTCAAATCAAAATTATCACTCATTATTATTTATTATTGTTACAATTTATTATTTTTTTTATTAAATTTTATTTTATTTTTTTCAAATACTTTGAAATCATTTTAATCATTTTTTTATTTTGTTTTTGTTTTTTTGTTGTAGCTAATGGATGAATGATCTTCGTCTTGTTGTCGGTATTGTTTGAATTCTCATTTTTACATGAGATTAGTTTGTCATAATTATTGTTAATATTATTATTATTATTATTTAGTGTATTATTCGTGTTTTCTTTCTATTTAACCTTTGAAGATCATGATCTAAACAGAGTTAGAAAAGAGAGAGTGAGAGATATTAACAATATTTTATTTTTACTTCATTTGTATAGCGCTTCAAAATACTCATTTATTCTACCAATTAATTGTAGAATATACATATACATATAAACGTTTTTTATGCGTTCAATATTAAATTTTTTTTGTTATATATATATATATATATATATATTGCCTAAAAGTATTTACATATATATATATATATATATAACTTTTTCCAAAAATGATATTGCAATTTTTTATAATGTGCTTTTGATAAATAAGTAGACAAATTGATTGATTAATTAATTAATTAATTAATAAACGTGATAGTGAGCTATTATCTTTATTAGTTTTGTCATTTCGCCGTTATCCTGAATAATATCATCATTATTAACGTTACTTTATCATTTTCTTGAAATTTGTTTTTTATTACTTTAGTTGAAATTTATTATGAACGACATATCTTAATGACATTAAGTTGTTTTTTCCTGACTAATTACATTAACACCATAATCTCATTAACTCCCCGTATGACAAATTATAATTATTATGTTATTTTTTATTATGTCTATTTCTATAATTATTATTATTGGTGTTTGATTAGAAAAACAATTTTTATTCGTTTTTTTGTTTTATTGAAATTTTAGTCGCAAAATTATTTTAAGATGGCTGGCTGTTTCACAAGAAAGACATGTTGACCTGGTGCTTTCTAACCATAATTTGTATCTTTTGGAATCGGTCATCTGTTGGAATGACCGGAAAATGCTAGGACCGAAAGATGCTAAATAGAATATGGATAACACCAAGGTCTCCATTCTTTTCTTACTTGGAATAGTTCGCTTTTTTTGTTAACGTTCAAATTGCTTCCACGTTATTAATTGAAATCATAGTACATACATATACATTCAGAATATAAACGATGTAGGTTTAATAATAATTTTGAAAAAGTTCTTAAAATGAAATAAAAATGTCTCGTCTCGAATTGAAAATAAATTCATGTGAAAGTAAAAGTACGCAGAAGAAATAAATTTACGGTCTGACTGTTGAGAATCTGTGGACGTTGGGGTCCGCAGAATCGCTGCCGGTGGCTGTCGCCGTCGCTGAATCTTTCGGTCTTTTTTCCGTGAAAAACATTTTCAAAATAAAGAGTTCCCCCAGACCGACTACAAGAATGATGACAGCCTGAATGATTGAATACGTCTGCACGTGTTCATTCAGAAGATCCGCTTCATTTCGCCCTCTGGCCTCACTCAGACGGTACTTCATCTGGTGCTCCATAATTTTCGTGGCCATCGAATGAATAACCTCCATCGATTCTTCGACCTGCGTGTTGGCGCTGGGTCCCTTTCTACCGCCTTCGACTGCCAGGGGTTTGTGATCTTCTGGTCTGATCTCGAAATACACGATCTTGTGAGTTATCGTTGAGAACTGGTTGCTGAAGCAGAATTTAAACGTCCCCCAAGATATTTGAAACATGATATGATCGTTCGTTTTCCTCACTTGGTTGTAGATCTCTTTACCAGATGGCGATTCAACAAGTACGTCAATATCGTAGTTTCCACCTCTCAAAACTCGAAACTCGAAGATGTACATGCGACTTCCTTCGAAATTTTCGTAGAAGCACATCTCTTCTCTGTCCGGAACCTCGATTGTTAGGCCTGAGTTCTGGTGGCAGGTGACAAATACATGACCAAACTGGATGACGGTTGTTACTAGGATGAAAACCTTGACAGTATTTAGCGATTTCATATCCGTTAATTATTGAAAAAAAGGTGCTTAATCAAATGAATTTAAATTTTTTATAAAAGAATATGCAGTTTAAATTTCGATTATTCTGTCGCACACGAGTTATAAATAAGGATTTCTGATTGAATATATCAAACAAAAATCTATAGACACAAAACTGAAAGATGAATTGAGTTTAACAAATTCAGATAAATAAACGAACTAAAACACGCATCGATCAGTATGAACGCAAGTATTTACGTACACAATTTTCGTTAAAATACATCATGTATATTTTTATTTTATACTTTTATAAAATTTATAATTTTATTAAAATCTATTAGTTGGATTTAGTTTGAAAACTACTTACATACATACATGCCCAGAGCTCATGATGTTATCACACATATATACATACAATATTAATACATAATACACATATACATATATTGTATATACACATAAACATACAATACTAATACATAATACACATATACATATATTGTATATACAAATAAACATACAATATTAATACATAATACACATATACATATATTGTATATACACATATATACATACAATATTAATACATAATACACGCATACATATATTGTATATACATATAAACATACAATACTAATACATAATACACATATACATATATTGTATATACAAATAAACATACAATATTAATACACAATGCACATATACATAAATTATTAATACAACATAAAGTCATATTAATAATACACAATACCTATATTAATACAAACATCATCAATTCTCATACAAAAATGTAAACGTGTACAATGCAATGGTACGTATGTGGTATCTCTAAAAAAATAATAATGACAATGACGTGTATACGTAAACAGATACACGTGTATATATGCAATACACACATACAAAAAGACAAAGACATACACACACACACACACACACACACACATAATGTATATATCCACACATAAATTTAAATCCAATATATATATATATATATATATATATATATATATATATATATATATATATATATATATATATATATGAGATTGGATATGTAGAGGCTTACTTGATTGTTGGTAACAGATTTTCTTGAAATCACTACCATATAGTCACATCATCGTCACCGTCATCACCATCACCATCACATATTTTCATCGCCAGCGCAATTCTTATCTCTATCTAACCATCATCATTGCCATATTACTCTTACAAATCAATATTTAAAATTAAATTGACAAATAAGCTCATATATTTTGGGTATGAATGGGACAAACACAAGTAGGTATAATGTATGAACAAACACATTTTCTATAAAAAATTGTTTTGAAATTTACCTACATGTTTAATAAATTAAATATATGGTGGAATTATAATATAATGCAGGAGTGGGAAAACATTCGGCTACGAGGGCCGCATTGAGTCCTATTTTACCTTTGAAGGGCCGCATATGTACTTAAATAGCCAACTTTTTAGACTTCGGGGAGAATATTTCCCTAGTTTACCCACCCCTGATAATGTATTTGATCGGCGAATAACAATAGAAAAATGAATTGAATATCCTACCAAACAAGACAATTATTTTTTACTTTTCAAGTTTTTTTTGTGTAAAAAAATCAAACTGAAATATGTAAATACTATTGGCAAAAATTTATAAATTGTACAAACACGTAGTAGATAGGCAGATTCAATAGAATAGATAATAAAGGATAATGTAATTCGTTTTCTTTGAGAATAATAATAGACAGAAAATTCAACACGAGACACTAAACCATATAATTACGTCAATTAGAATAATATACGTTAGTAATAATAATAACAAGATATAATAATAATAAAATAATAATTAGAATCATTATTATTATTATTGAAAAAATATTGTTAAAAAGTTAAAACAAATGAAAAAGAAGAAAAATATACAAGTTGAATCAATCTAAATCGTTTAAATACGTCCGGCTGATTCTTTTACAAATGTAAGAGTCTACCGGTGGATATGAAGGTTTCTGAAAAAAATTTAAAAATTAATTCAAATACAACATTCTAGTCAATGTTATTGAATATTAATGATTCAAATTAGATCTAGATTTGATAAAAAAATAGTTTAATTCATATAATATTGTAAGTTTATATAATAAATTGAGGTTTTATCAAGGTCTGGCTTATAAATGAAATAATTTTATTAAAAAAGCGCTACACAACCGATTATAATTGTCGTTGTTTACTTTTAACGTAGCTAATTTTTCGAAATTAAATTTTCAGTTGAATTTTCGTTTGTTTTTCTAATATTTCTGATTCAAATTTATGACTTTTTAATTTGATTTATAATAGCTACGCCATGTTCTCGAAACTTATTGGAAATATATTTCCTACCACAAAGTTCTATTTTAAATGGCCCATTTCATTTTCCACATTTATGATCTTCGTGATCATGATCCTCATCATCATGTTTGATTCTCTTAAAATCGTAGAGGGTTGCAGCAGTAGAAAGGTTCTGGAAGACACCATTACCGAAAGACCGGGATCCAAGCCTACGGAACAACCAAAGCCAGCAGTCGAGCAGCCTCAGTGCAAACCGTACACGGGTGACTCAATCAACCCAGTGGCTGGTTTGACAACAAATGAATGGCGAACCAGATACAAAATGGCAATGTTACTGGGTGGATCGGCCGATGCTATTGGTTACTACCGAGGCCGTTGGGAATTTCAATTAAAAGGACAGATCATTCATGATGAAGTGAAAGCAAAGGGAGGCATAAAATCACTTAACGTTTCAAAGCCAAATTGGACGTTGTCTGACGATACGATCATGCACCTGGCCACCGGGGAGGCCATCACAGAGTACATCAAAACTTCGGCAAATGATTTGGAGAAGCTCTACATAACAATAGCCAAGCACTATATTAAATGCATGCTCGATATGGTAGATAGAGCTCCAGGAACCACCACCATGAAGACAGTTGCAATGTTGGATGCAAATGATCCTAAGGGTTACATAATCCCATTTGATGACCGTGGAGGGGGATGTGGTGGGGCCATGAGGTCCATGTGCATCGGACTCTTGTATCCCGATCCGAAACAACTAGATTTGTTAATAGCAGTCAGCATAGAATCAGGACGTATGACGCACAACCACCCTACTGGATTTTTAGGATCTTTGACATCTGCTTTGTTCACCCACTACGCCATACAAGGTAAGCCTGTTCATATGTGGGGGGCTGGACTGATGGAGACCCTGGACAAGGCCTGGCAGTATGTCAACAAAGTTGGAAGAGATGTTGAAAAGAATAAGGGAGCATGGAGTTATTTTCGTGATTCATGGAGTCGCTATCTGAAGATCCGTTGCCTGGAAGGTGGCACACAGCCTCTCTTCCCGTCTCCATACGGTGTCAGAGAAAGAGATAAATTCTACAAGGAGATAAGTTTTGATGGATGGGGTGGAGCCTCAGGACACGATGCACCGATGATCGCCTACGACGCATTCGTGGGTGCAGGGAACAGCTGGGAGGAGTTGGCCAACAGGGCATTCTTTCACGGCGGGGACAGTGACAGCACGGCCATCATCGCTGCCACCTGGTTCGCAATCTCATACGGCCACAAAGATGTACCCGTCAACAACTACCAGTACCTCGAGTACAGGGATCGACTCGAAACCGTTGGGGAGGAAATATTTAATTACGTTGAGAAATATTTTAACGAACCTAAAATGTAATGGCATTGGTGACTATTCATTTTATGTGCTGTGGACAGGCTATGAATTTGCGACAGTCAGTCATTTCTCACTAACTATTATACTTGTGTTTTGATTGAATCATCAGCTGTATTTGCATTGTTATTACTAATCATATCTGACAGTATTAGAGTGCCATCATTTCGCATTTTCATCAGAGTTACCGTATTCACCGTTCGTCAACTATTCGCGATAGCATTTAGGTTACAGTTTCGTAAATTTTACATACAAAAACATAAATACAAAAGCGTACAAACGAACGAACAAACACGCAAACAAACAAACAATCAAATATACAAACAAACATACATACGTACATACATACAAACCTTAGTTTTAGTAGAAGTAGCGGTAGAATTTTTCGTCGTCGGTACGTACCTATTCATGTACTCTCTTACGTCCCATCTTAGCTGTCTGTGTTGCTTCTCCCCTGGCACTAAATTCTCCGCCCAGTATCTTTTGTATTCTTGATACCTGGAAGTATTATTATAACAGTATTACATTTAATCATAATAAAATTAAGGATATTTATGCTTGAATAATGGTTAACTATAACCGTATTACGAATAATTATTCATAATATAATAAATTATAACGGTATTAATTAAATTATAATATACAAAGTGTTTGATTATAGATATTTATTTGATTTTATTGATTTATCGAATTTTTTAATTATTTTCATGAAAATTAAATGTTATTTTTGTTTAAACTTCAAAAGACAGGGTAATAACAATAGTTAATAATACTCATTCATTCATTCATTCATTCATACATACATACATTCATTTATTAATTAATTCATTCATACATACATTCATTTATTCATTCATACACTCATTTCTTTATGTATTAAAACCTTTTCACAGGGTCACATTTGTTGGCCAATTTTGTTAACTGTTCTGAAGGAACATGCCTTATAACTGCAAAGTGTGTATGTGTGTGAGTGTCTGTCTGTGTGTGTGTGTGAGTCTGTCTGGTGTTTGCGTGTGTGCAGAACCCTGTTCATTTCAATTGTTTGAAAATTGAATTAAATAGACGTATTGAATTGCAGTTGGCCTATAAAAATGATTGTTTTATTTTTTTATAATTTAATTTAGAGCTTAATTTTTGCTTCTAGAACTTAATGAACAATTTAAATAATATATATATATATATAACATTTATATATATATATATATATATATATATATAAATGTTATTTATTTTACATTATCTCATTTCATTTAAGATTATAATCAATAAATTTCAAAAAAGGCTTGTTCATTAGTTAGTTTTATTTAATGAGCAAACTTAAAAATCTATAAAAAAATGTTTTCTCCAGTGATTTTTCACCTGAAGATGGTGCATATTCGTGACTCGAGTTCGGTGCCTGTTATATTTTATTTCGGTTATTAATTTTGAAAATTATCAAGAAAATTATTATGATTATTAAGAGATATTATATAAAAATGAGAAGTAAAAAATTGTGGCTATTTGTCCGATTGTAACGAATGGCTCTTCTACTGGACGACCATCAATCCATGTTAAAATAAAATTAGGAATGATATAATAAATAGTCAAAGGATAAATTTATTTATTGCATAGAATAATAAAGATCGTTAGAGCTAATTAGAATTAGAGTCATAATTCTGGTTATAAATTGCTTTAATAAAGTACTGGGTCAAAGGATTGAGTTATTTGTGATCATTTTTTGAAAGAGTTTAACATGAAAAATAAAACAATGTGAATGAGATAATCATATTTAAATACATTTAAATTATAAATAAACAAATAAATAATAAATTAAATTAAAAAAATAATTTTTTTTTTATAAAACTCTCTAACACTTTTATTTCTATAGCTCCTAGTACTACTACTGCCTGTATATTCACTGGTGGTTATGGAAGAATCATCTAGAAATAATTGAAAGATAATTACGAATGAATAGAAATTGTATTTGTTAATTGTAAATGTAATATAAAAATATAAATAAATGGCTTAAGAAGAATATTAAAAAGATTAAATATATAAAAATATAAATGAAATAAATAATTAATACATCCATACACACACAGACACACACACATACACACACACACAGACAGACACACATACACACGAGCAAAGTAAAACACAAAAACCATATAGTACCGGTTGCAAATGATTCTTCAATATGAGATTGTCCATTAATTTTTCTAAGCACTTTTCTCTTTATAACCAACCCAGCAGTACTACTGCCACTTACTGTACTACATGTACTCACCCTAGTACTGTTACTTCTTACTGACCCGTCGTCATAATTATCACCATAACTGTCATCACCGTCATCGTCATTGTTGAAATTCTTGTCGTAGAGTTGGTTTGATTTGGGATGTTGTCGCTGAATGTGTGGTTGGTGCTGTGGAAAACAAACTACATTATTTACATTTATTTACTAATTAATTTAATTATTTTTATATTCATTAAAGTTGTAGAACTGTCCCATTTATATTATTTTAATTTAGATAAATGGCAACATTATTACTGCTTATTATTAAAAAAACTAAATTTTTTAATATTTAATATGAAATAACAGTTCAAATTTAAAATAAGAAGGTTGCATTGAGATTTTTGGAAAAAATTTATTCTGAATAAATTATAACTAACAATATTTCTTGGATGCACTAAAAGAGGGACATTGGGATTGAGATTTTCTAATTTTAAATATTTATAAAAATTATTTTGCAATAATAATTCATTTATAATTTATAAATAACAAAAATTACACAAAAATTATGAATAATTTATTATATTAATATCAATTACGTCATTATATAATTATTTCATACTTATTGAGAAAATTTGAAAAGTTCTCATTACCCTTGGATAAATCAGCGTCAGATTGACTGATTGACGGAGGTGGGGTCAAATATTTCTGCTCCCTAATCAACTGATCCAAATCTTAAAAATATTTTTATTTTAATTATATACTATATTTTATTTTTATATTCTATATATATATATTTCATCATTTTATGAATTTGAATATAAAAAAGAAAAAAGGAAAGATGACAAAATTAACATAATTATATTGCCAAAACATGAAATGTTACCAATCTAACACTAATCAATTCTTTATTTTTTTATTTTATATTACTAATTTATAAAACAAAAATTTAGTTAAATTAAAAAAAATTAATTAAAAAAATATGAAATGAAACCTTTTTTAAATTGTAAAATTTTCTCTCTTGGAACGCCGATATATCCTAATTTTTTTAACTCTTCACAAATCTCATCTTCCGTAAAATCAAAATCGCTCATGATTTTGTTAGAAACTAATTTAAAAACCTAATTTTTTTCCTAAAAACCCGGACGTAAAATTCAACTCAACAAGTTTAAGCACGGCTCGAGATTGCTTGTTTACGAAAAACAGGAATGTGCTCATTATTTGTAAAAATTTCGTCCATAAAACATTTTCGGTACCTTGTCAAAACATCGTAATTTCAAATTAACGTTAATCGCGAATGTAGTCAATAACCCGTTTGAACTAACGAAAGTTATTCACTTTTTAAATTTAAAAAATGATTCAACAATTAATCACATATTATAAACTAAATTATGTTTTAACTATTTTAAAGTGTGAAAAAGGAGTTTTTTGCTCTAATGCCCAGATAATAAATAGCTTGGTGTATAAATTTCTTAACTTCTGCATGCCTTAATAAATATATATTACACTTCATCCATTTTTCGATAAAGAGTAATGTATATGTACATCACACCCGCACGCACACCCACAATAATTAATTTTGTTTCACCATTACTTTGCATGTAACATATGTCAATCGAGTGTTATTTGTCAGTTGTGTTGCAGATGTTTTGAAACAGAAGCTAGAAAGTTAAGCGGCTGGTAGTATTAGTAGTAATAGTAGAAGTAGTAGTAGCAGCAGCAGTAACAGTTAGTAATAATTGTAAAAGTATCTTAAAAAAATGAAATAGTGTCATTGATAACATAAAATACTATCAGCAGTTGATAAATCAGTATTTGTAGTAGTAGCAATAGTAGTAGTAATAATAGCAGTAATTATAGTAGTAACAGTAGTAGTAGTAGTATTAGTAGTAGCAGCAGTAGTACTAAGTAGCGGAAGAAGTAGCAGCCAAAACGATATTTTATCAACTTTCAGCATTTTAATTAATATTTTACAAATAAAAAAAGACAGATAGATTAAATAAAATCACAACTAAAAATTAAACAACAGAAAAAGGTTTTATTTAAAATGTTATTTACAATAATTAAAGATGTTTATCAAAAAAAAAAATTGGATGAATAAATAAGAAAATGAAAAATTAATCAATTTAAATAATAAAAATAATAATACAGTGCCATTTTATAGGTAGTCATCGTCGTCGTCATCTTCGTCATCTTGAAATAAATAATTCTTTCTACCTGTTTAATTAATAACCAAAATAAATCGAATCCATTAAAAAAGAAATATGTTTAAATATTAGTTTAAATAAAATTGCCAAAACAAATTCCAATCATCATCTCATTATCTTCATAACAATAACAGCAAACAAACAAATAACAATAAATATATAGACAGATAGATAGATATATAGATAGATAGATTGATACCTTTATGATTGTTATGAGCATATTCGCGCAGGTATCCGTTCTGAGTATTCATGGAATTGAAGTAGAGGTATTTCTTCGTCGGCCAGAGCAAGTGCATCGTGATACAATAAGATACAAAGTCAGCTGAGCTGCATAAACCTGCAAATAAACACACACACATTTTAGACACATATTCACACACACACACACACAAATAAACAAACACACATAAGGAGAGAGAAGTAGAGGGATAGAGAAAGAGAGAGATAAGGACATACACACATACATACACGCATAAACAAGCGCGTGCAAACTGACTTTGGATAGTTTTGAACCTCCAAAATGTGGATATATTCGATCCAATGATGGCAACAATTGGAAGGTAGATGAACCAGACCATGAAACCGGCACCAAAATGGAGGTAGACTCTGACGTGTTGATGACGAAATAAAGATGATGAGATCACATCAGGATGATGTATGAATGATATGATGATGTCATCATGATGTGCTGATGTGATTAGAAAGTAATAATGACGTAATAATGCAAGTTGAATCAATTGACCCACCAATAACATTACCGCAGACTTAGCTAAATTAAGAAAACAGCCAGAAAACCAACCAATCGACAAATCAGTTAGCAAGTATCAATCAAATCAACCAATCAATAAACAAACCTAAGCCAACCAGTCAATAAACAAGCCCAACCAACCAATCAATGAACAAGCCCCACAGACCAATAATCAAACAAACCTGGACTTAATGAATCCATGGTCTTCTAGAAACGTTGTTCTCAGCTCATACAAAAACCACAGCATAATGATGATCCTGAATGTTAGGATCAGGAAGCCAGGCCATGTCTGCCACTCATCAACATCACTTATGAACTGTACCTCTAACTGTGTGTATGTGTGGCGTGTGTATGTATGTGTGGCGTGTGTATGTATGTGTGGCGTGTGTATGTAAGAACGTATAGATATATATAAGTAGTTAGGTTTGTATGCATGTATATATGTATGTATGTATGTATGTATGTATGTATGTATGTATGTATGTATGTATGTATGTATGTATGTATGTATGTATGAATGTATGTATGTATGTATGTATGTATGCATGCATGCATGTATGTATTTATATTAAAACCAAAACATGATAAGTGACACTGAACCGTCAAACATCAAGTAACAAATGGATTAACACTTTGATTTGTCGTTAATTGCACATGTCTGTATGTATGTGTGTGTGGGTATGTACACAAGTTTGTACACAAGTTTGTACAACAATGAGCAGATGTCTAAAACAGCTGCACACTCTTGCCTTAAAATGAAAAAAATGCAAAAAGTTTCAAACTAATGTTACAAATTAATAATAATGTTATTTACTGCCCTACATTGGTCTGTGGAGCTTGTATGAATGATGAATGAATGATGAATGAATGATGAATGAATGATGAATGAATGATGAATGAATGATGAATGAATGATGAATGAATGATGAATGAATGAATGATGAATGAATGAATGAATGAATGAAGAAAGCCTTCAGCCAGTAAATCAATGAATCAATATTTTTATAAAATCTTCCAATGGCATGTCAAATAGACTAAATTGTTTAATTAAAACTCATTAATAGTCCATGGATCAAATTCACATTTTATGCAATTTATTACCAAAAACAATTTTAAGGGTTAAAAAAATGAGTGAGTGAATGAATTAATGAATGAATGGATAAATAAGCGAATGAATGGATGGATGAATGAATGAATAAATGAATGAATGAATGAAACAATGACAACAGAACAAAATAATCTAACCAGATTCCAGATGAATAGGGCAATATTGGAAGCAGTGTAGGCAAACCAGACGGTAGAAACGAAGAGAATCGTGAATATGGGCAGCCTCTCACAATTGATAGCCATTCCCTTCACAACCAACAGCAAAAGCAGCATGAACAAACTCTGGGCTAGCAGGTCAAAAAACTTTCCTACTGTACTCAAACTGACGACTCCAATCCCGTCCCCGGCAAATTTTGTGTAGTGAACGAAATTAAAAACAATTCCTAAAAACTCGAGAAATAGGCAGAGGAATAATAAAACAGCAACTGTATGCCTTCGTAAGCTAAGAGCATAGGCCTGCACTGGAATGATGAGAATGTAGAGAATGAAGAATGTGAGGTAAATTTCAAAAACATCAAACTGTTCGATCGAGAAGTGGTGCTCAAAGAAATTTGAATTTTTGTCATCGGGGTCTCCATTGACTAACCAGATGTCATAATTGATCAACATAGACGGAGAATTCTTAATGTGGGTCCACTGACACGAAGAGTTGGTTGTGTTGAGACTGCAGGCCACCATACTTATGTACCAATACCTGCAATTAGTGAAAATTCATTTTAGGATAATCTATTTTTAAAGATATCATTACCTAATTTAATTACTTAAATAATAAAATAAAATATTTAGTAGATAATTATTTAATTTTTTTTAGTAATTCAAGCACTGGAAAAGCACCTCGGTTGTTCTTTATCTTGAACCCTGAATGTGAACTGACTGTTGCGAACCATCCTGTCGGCCAGCTCATCCCTACATAGCCCATCCCTTCTGCATGGTATGTACCTTATGAAGTCCTCCTTGCCATTCACGTTGCAATCTTTGTCCCAGGCCAATCTGTTGATCTGAGAAAACATTCTAGAACATGCATCGTGTCTGGGAGATAGCGAGCGATTAGTGAAGAAATTTAGAAAGTATTCACTGTCTAGAACAACTAGCGCAATATCATAATCTTCGTATTTGGTAGCCGTAATGTTGCCGTATATGTAACCCTGAGTCCTGGCTGTTTCATCGTTTTTGTCCGTTTGCTGAAACCCAAATTTCACTAAAAATTTATAAAAATCGGACGTTTTCCACTGGCCTACCAAGCGCAAACCATACACGGCACTTGTGCAGGATATTAAAGATAGGAGAAATAATCTAACAATATTTTTTAAATACATTTTTAAACTGACTAGTTAAAGATCAAAATCTTATTTATCACAAAATCGCAAAATCTAATTTATCCACTAATCCGTTAATTGATAAACTTTGAATCATCTTCATCACACTTTGCGACTTTTGTTGTATTTATAGTTAGCAACGCAACAAAACGTTTGTAACGTCAGTTTCAAAATTAATTTTTAACAATATGGATGGAACACCAAAACAATTTTTTATGTGAGCCATGTACTTCAAAGGTTAGAATACTTGAGACATTTAACAATTACACGTGCATAACTGTAGATAAAATGGAACTTTTTGTTTTTTACATTTAATTGCATAGATTTATTATATACACACCAATTTTTATAAGTTCTCAATTGAAACAATTATTAATACAATTTCTTTTAAAATCAATCAATAAATACGTTACCGTATTTTAAAAACTTTTTTTTAGATAAATTGAAAAAAAAGTAAACTTTAAAATTCTTTCCAAACTTTTCAAAATAAAAGAAATGTAACACGGAATAAATTACTTCCATCGGGTTTATTTCAATGATTTAAACTTCAACTCTCTCAAAAACCCATTACTACATTTGTTGGTTCCACTAGAATTGATTATTCTAACTCACTGCTAGGTTACGAGCTGTTTCATTAGATAGATTTACTGGATGCAACTTTTCATTAAAAATTCGTGTTTTTCTGATTATTTCCTGTTTTTCTTTCTTTCTACCTTTATCAAACGTCAATATAACTAGCTAATAACAGTGATATGGAAAAAACTATTTTGTCTGTGTTAAAATGAATGGCCCTGTTGAAATGTTGTGAAGGATAATTATTTCGTCATTTTTCTAGGAAAAGAATTTTATTTTTTCGATCAAGTAACTTTTTACTCTGATTAATTGATTGATCAAAGACGATAATACTTCATTATTTTTCATTTTATTTATAAAATCAAAGCAAAACATTTAAAAATTCAATCAAATTCACAGCACATACAAGATTGTTTGGAATGAAAATCGGTGTATTTACAACAACAGATAAAACAAATCATAAAGAATTTACAAACAGTAAGTTTTACTCGTTGATATATTACATTTCAGACTAGAGTGACTCGTCATAGGGTTCTCAATTTCGTGAGTTTAACCAAAATTAATAAAAAAATAATAAAATCAAACTTTTTTGAAACTATATAAAACGAAATTGTTTTTAGCGTGATTAATTGTGTTATTAATTTTTTCAAGTCTTTAAAATAAAGTCTATGACTGCATTTTTGTTCAAGCTGAAATGTGTTTTGATTGATCCTTTTCCAACAAACATACAGAGGATTGAACTCATTTCTTCGTCGTACAGAGGTTGAGAGCCGTCTCTTGGCATGGAATGTAGCTAGGAATGGGACTCAACTTTAGGTGCGTGCCGTTCATCATCGCCACGTTGTTATATGCAAATGGGTAACTAAAATTTACGCAGTTGTTAGTATTGAAAAATCTGTACAAATGATTCCGAAGCGCCTCTTGATTTGAAATTTTATTCAACAAAAATTCATTAGGTTTGACATTTTCTGATTTGAAAACTGGTGGGCTACTTTTCAAACTTTTTGATTTTTTAGAGCTTGATTTATTTCCGCAGTTGTTGCTGCTGCCTTTATTGATAGCAGATGAATTTTCATCATCTGATGGTTTGTGCCAGCGTCTGTGTGATGCCAGGTTGGCTGGGCAGTTGAAAACCTTGTCGCACTGCGGACATTTGTATTCAACGTGAACGATCCTCGAGCATCTATGCTGCGCTAACTGGAATGCATCGTCATACTTCTCCTTACATAGACAGCAGATATATTCGCCAATCTTGTTCTCGATTTTTTCCAATTCAGCTTTCGCTTCTGGAGTAACTTCGACGTAATTGAAACAGGAATCTATGTCACCTCTACAGACTGGCGTCACGTCATTGTCATCGTCGTCCACGTCTCTGATGTACGTTCCAGATACTGGAGATATCTTCAACTCATCAACTGATGCCTTCTTCTTCTTATGCCTGCCATTGTTGGCGGTGTTATATTTTCGTTTTTTTGCTCCTTTGTCCGTTTCTTTACTGAAAACTTCTTTTTCTTTGATGGGGCTGTCAGATTTTTGATTCTGCACGGCGTTCACTCTGTCGTTTTTAATTTTCTGAATGTGGGAGAGTAGAATGGAATTGACGCTGGAATCTGGTTTGGAATGATTGATTTTGTCAGATGAACTCCCGATCTCGCAGTTCTGGTGATGGTTGAGCTGGCTCGGAACATGCGAAGAGTTCTTCAGCAATGGAAACGAAGACGGTTGGAAAAAGAATGGATAATATGGAGGAATGTGTGTCGTCTGTGAGAAGAGTTTGTTGTTTTCGTGTAGAAACCTCTGTAGAGGAACATTACGAAGTGCCGCCAGGAACTGGGTGTGACGTAGCAAAGACTCGTAAGAAGCCGAAATAATTTCATTCTTATCGCCACTACTGTTGCATTCTTTGATTTTGCTAAGATCATTAAATGTCGATTGTATAATGGCTGATTCTTTATCGGCGTTTGACTCTTCGGAATCGAGTTCGGTCATAGAGTTTTTAAAATTTTCAGCAGACGTCACTTCGCAAGAGCCAGTCATTTTTTCCTCTTTGATTTCATCCACTTCCATTTTTGGACTGTGGCAATATCCAGAGTCGGGAGAGAAGTGTGATATGCCAAATGGTGGAGTGACTGAAGTTTGTGGTGATGCTACAGTTAAACGTATGCTGTTGTTGTGGACGC